ACGCACCACACGGGCGCTCTCACGCACACGCTTCCCCACGCTCCCTCGTGCCAATTATTTAAACTTCGCTCAGGCAAAGGCAGCACCTCGCTCACTGCCGCCACCATCCCCTGCGCCCTCCCCGCCCTGCCAACATCCTCCCCCTGGCCCACCTCTACCCCGGTTCTCTGTTTCCTGGTAGAAAGCCAGCTGGTTTCTCCTAAGCCCTGGGAAATCGCGGAAGTTCCAAGGAAGCATGTGTCTTCTCCTAGCGTCTCATCCCCAACCATCTTCCTCCCGGCGTCAGTTTAACAATAGCTCCTCGGGAAAGGGCGGGGGTGAGTGGTTCAAGCAGGCGATGGGAGCTAGCTACCTACCTAGCTGCGCCGGCTCCCGGGGTGGCTGCGAAGCCTGGCGGCTCGAAGGGGTCCCCCCCACCCCCGTCGCCCCAAAGGCGAAGTCAACCGCGTAGGACCAAGGACAGGGCTTGCAATCCGCGTCCCCGCGCCCACCACCGCGAGGCTCCCCGGCAGCCGCCACTCCAACAGACACAGCTCCAAGGATCTAATTTACTCTTTCTGAACAAAGGGAATCTCAGATCCGGCACAGGCTTAAGGATTCGGCCCCCTAATTAGCTACCTTCTTCTACGACCGAACCACGGTCATGGGCGCCCATGCGTGCGAGCCCGCACACCTAAGGCAATGACGAGTTTTGACAGCTCCTACCCGCCCCAGCCCCAGCCCTAAGGCGGCAGGTACTTTCTCCGTCAACTACAACTACAACTGCCTGGTGCGGCATCTCCATTCCATCCGGTGATCCCATCTCCCCGGCACACGCTGTCTGGCTAATGCAATTAAGTCTGGGGTTTTCGCTGGTCTAATCCTCTGCAAGTCCAGGCTCCTAAGGATCCTTCACCGCACTTGAGCCTCTCCGGTCCTCCGGTTGCTTTGCGAAAGTAGAGGCATGCGTCCCCCATCACCCAAGTGATCCCTGTCTTCCCACGAAATGAACTTCCAATCAATCCCCAGGTTCACTCCGCATCTCGACTTCCATTGTCACCCCCCACCCCCCACACCTCCTCCCTGCGCGACCCCGGCCACATTTACCACTGAAATTTCTGCCCCTGGCATTTGCAAATACTCAGTACGTCAAGCATGCGTCCCCCTTCTCCGGAGTCTAGCTCTCCAGAATTACAAAGCAGAGCACTCGCTTCGAAATGAGACAAACATGTGCCATTAACTTCATATTCCGCTCACTTACAGGTTTTCTGGGTTTGCCAGCGCATCGCTGCAACTAATGATTAAAGAAACCGAACCGAAACTTACCTTTCTCCCTTAAGGTTTGTGTGTGTGTGTGTTTTTTAAGTAACGGTGCAGTTCTCCCAATAAGGATGAGCAAGAAGCTGCTGGGTAGTTCTCTTAAGACAGCACGAGACCTAAACTGTGCTCGGCTTAAAAGAAGCAAATCAAAAGAAATGCTTTCGAACCCCAAAGTCCAACGCTAAAAGAAATGGCGAAGAAGAAAGAAAGAAAAAAGAAAAATGTATGAAAGGGGAGGGGAAACTTAAAAAGAGAGTTTAAAAAGACGGAGAGGCTACCCTCCTATTGCCGCTCAACTAAACAAAAAAAAGGGGGGCAAGAAAAACAAACGAAGGAACAAAGAAAAGAGACGAAAGAACGTTTTGGGGTTTTTTTCTCGAAAAAGACGATGTCTTTCCCCTGGCTGCTTTTTTAGTAGGTCGCTACAGGAGTGAGCTGCTGCATCTCTAACTGAGAACAGCGATCGCGGGGGAGGACGCCTGAGGAGGGAGGTGGACTGGACCCAGGATTTATAGCACCGTATCACCAACCCCTGCTCTGCCTCCGCACTGCCGGCTGTGCAGCTGCTCGGCCAGGCTCCTATCCCGGGCGGCACGCGCGGAAGTATACGCCGACTCGCGCCACAACGCAACTTGCTCATCTCCCCGGGGCTCTGATTGGTCCAGACGCTCCCACGGAGGCGGCCCCGGCGAAGCCCCGGAAGGGGATTGGTTCGGAGCTGGTGCCACTCTCCAGAGCTCAATGGAGTCCCGTTTCAAGGTAAGTTGTGCGGGGCGGTACACACTTCACACTGGCGGCGAAAGGAAATGCAAGAAGCAAAAAAAAAAAGAGAGATGGAGAGAGAGCAGTGTGGGAGTGTTGGAACTGTACTGTCAGAGTTTGCGATGTGGCACGATCTCCTTTCCTCCTCAATCTTTCTGCTTCCGAAAGGCTCGTTTCCTTTGCCTCATCCTATGGCACGTTTTCTGTATAGCATTAAACTCTGTCCGGTATGTATGAGTCATTGAGAGCTCCCTCTCTTTGATCTGAGTGAAAGGGATGAAGGTGCATCCATTCCTTGTCCGCATGCTTTTTTTTTTCCTATTTCTGTTCCAGTATTCTGTATTAGATATTAGTTAATTTTATATCTTTCTCTATTTTAAGATATGCACATTACAGCTCCCGTGTTTAGTGTATATTTTAAAGCATCCTTTTAGGATAAGGATGGAGTCAGAAATGCTTTTAAATAAAGCTGCACGACTTGGATTAGCTTTCGCTTCCTATTAGAATAGAAAAGTGTAGGATAAGCATCCAGTGCAAGAAAAGAGGTACTGAGCTAAGGTCCTTCGCTTTGAAGTGTATGATGACTCTCAAAAAAAGCAGCTGTATATAAAATTAGAACAAGGCGTGCCTCTTCATTTGTTGACGGTACACTTCTTGGACCACACATGTATTGCTGACAGTAAAGATATGCCTTTATCTGGGTTCTTCCCTCTGAGGAATAAAAAGTTTAACCAGAAGACCAAGTGCTTTCAACGCTTTTGCTTTATAGCTGAAGACTACTTTATTAGACCCCATATTTTAATAATATTGGGGAAGCCGAAAGACAGTTTTTTCCATGGCATTTATTTCTTCCTCCAAGTGAAAGTGTGGTCCTCAGATCCACTTGAAGTATATAAGTAAAGACGCTACTCACTTGGCCTGAGTTCTTTTCCAGCTTGAATTTCTCCTTTCAATCTTGAAAGATAGCTCCAACTTCCTAGAAAGAACTTACATGACTTATGCAATGTAACGTATCATCTCTAGGAGCTCAAGCCTTTCCAAAAGGGATTCCTGTACCTGTTCATTTACTACTAAGCACTATTTTTGAAAAATGCCGGAAAGAGGAGTCACAGGTAAGAGAGATTGCAGGAGGGTGGAATGGGGTGGAGGGAAGAGGGACAGATAGCCACAAAGCAAAATGGCTAGAAAGGGAGGGGTGAAGTAATCAGCGTTTCTTGAGAGTGTCCTTGAGTATTGATACATGATTGATGGTAAAGAACAGAAGACCTGTTTCTCTCCCAAGGAGACTGTATAGTATGTCTGAGTTGTATTACTTTACATGATAATAACTGGAGGTTGGAAAAGAAGGCCTGAATCTGTGTTTTCTTATAATTAGCATTTATTATCAGGCTTTAATCCCTGCCCCCACTTTTTATGTAACGTCAGGCTTGTGTTCTTAATTTCAACTGAAAACTATTCTGTAGACCTGGGTAAAACTCATGAGAAGAAGAAAAGCAGTTTAAAGAAATGGAGTGTGAATACACAGTTGGAAGACTGGGTTTGTTGTCATCCTCTTTCAACCCATCCCCTCACTCCAGCTCAATACAGAGAAATACAATTTGGGTAAACAAATAGTACTGTTCAGGCAGACTTATCTATGAAGTGACTCGCCTTTTCTCCTTGTTAACATACTCTTAAATTCGTATTGGAAAAAAAAATGTTGTATTAGTTGCATGTGTTCATGCAATATTCTTAGCACTTTGAAGAAAATATTTACCACTAACTTACAATTACATAACTGTGTTCTAACTGGGTGGAAATTAATACTTAGTTTTAATTTTTTAATGCATGTTTGTATCCACAAGAAAGATCTTGTAAACTGCAGTGATATATTTCCAAAAGGATTAGGGGAGGTGGATATGAAAAGCTGGGTGTGGTGTGGGGTGATGAAAATCTAGTATGCATGTTATGTAGTTAATTAAATTGCATGGAAAGAAGTAAACTTGCCCATTCAAATGCACAAAACAAAATGCATAAAAACAAAAGTTTTTAAATGCCAAGTTCTGTGGCTTGGTTGTCTATGCTTTTATCACTTTGGGCAGAAGAGCAAATATTTCTCAAAATGTTGTCATTTTCAGTGTGTTACTTTTTTTTCTCTGTAGAAAAAATAGTTAATTATTTAAGACACTGAAAATATCTTAAAATACTAGTTTACATCCTCAAAAAAAACCAAAAAATTTTAAGTTTAGAAACTTTTAAATGGATAGATATACCATAAGTAACATGTGGGTTTTTTTTCCAATTTTTAACAATAAAAACTGACCATAGCCACTTTAATACAAATGCTATCTGGGTGTAGATTTCCCTTGGAATTCATGTCGTCATAGCCTGAAATATTAACATTCTATTTTGCAATTAATAAAAACGATGTGTACACATCACACCCCACATTAAACCACTGTAATCAAACCCTCTTAGTTCATACTTTGCATTAGAAAAGCACTTAAAAGACATTTCAGTTTTGATTGTCATGTTAGCTCTGATATCTTTTCAAAGTCCTTGGGATAATTTTAAACTGTAGCAGAGAAGGGCAGGAACTAGAGAGCCACTGAGAGCGTGGAGGGAAAGTTTGCTGTGGAGAAAGTTGCCAACAGAATGGTTCTCAAAGCTGAAAATGTATAAATTCGGTTATTTTACAAAGTTTCTTTATAAAGAAAAAGCCAATTACAGATTATACTCATAAAGTATTGTGGGTAATGTCTTCTAAGATAAATAACCTCCTTATATTAGTGTGTGTAGGGGAGGGGCAGTGATGTTTGCATTTTATGATAAAGGGCACTGTAAACCACTATTGTAACTTTTTAAACTAAAGTAAAACAGAGAAGCTATTTATATGAGTTTACAATGTTTGGAGTAGGGCAGTAATTCCAAACATTATGCCCTCTCAGCTTAATAAAAATACTGGGTGTTACTCTGTTGGGCTGTTTGTTGGGGTCTGTGGCTCATGATGTTGGACATGTGGCAGTTTTATGCCTGTGTGAGAAATATAGCTATCCTATAGCTTGATGATTACGCTTTTATTTATTATTCTTAAAGAAGTATGCCAACTTTCCTTCCACAGTTTAGATAACAGGGGGAAAAGTTATGGAGAAAATTGACAGCAATGTGAGTTTAAATAGAACGTGGCAGCCGGGCCAGAGAATGAAGCAGGGAGTAGCACCATGGACAGAGCCTAGCAGATCCTGAACAGAGGATGGCGAAGTCTGATAGTCTTTTCGGCCCCTCCCTGGAGACGAGGAAACTGGAATTCTTGGGAAAGATTCATTCCACAGACTTTAAGGACAAAGCTGTCCTACTCAGCGGACCCACGTTTGTTTTGAATTGAGCTGGCTTTTGCTAGGACCCGGCCATCGTGACAAACCGCCAGGAGGGTGAGAGCCGGGAACTCGCTGCACACCCTCCGCGGTCCCCTGGCCATACACCCCTTTGCCCCGCTGAGCCTGCCGGTCATCACAGTGGTCAGGCAAAATAAACGCAAATCCAGGTAGTCCTCCACAAGTCTGCTGAAGTCCTCGAAATTCCCAGCGAGCATCGCAACAAAAAACGCCTCCTCTCCCACCCTTGCTCCCCTCCCCCCACTCTTCCTCTCCCGGCTCCCGCCGCCTCCTGGCCGAGGGGCCCAGCCTTTCATCCGAAGGTGAGTGACCTCCCAGACTATTTTGTGAAAGACCCTTTCTATTGCAGACACTTTCCTTTAGGGACAGTGCCAGGGGCGGCAGGGAGCAGGATCACACACAGACTTTACTTTCTCTTTACATTTTCTCTTTAAACTCCTGTTGGAGATAAAAGACTCCCAAGAGCAGACGCAGAGAGAATTCCCCCTGCATCCTGAGGTTACTGCTCACACGTAAAGACACGTGAATTGTTTATTTAAATGTTTTTAAAAATGCAAACTAGTGACGCGGTCAATCTTTGCCACCAGGGTATCTTGTCCCCCCATCCCCCACCCCCACACACCTTTTTTTCGGGGCAACATGTGTCTGAGGTTCATTCTCCTGCAGGTGATTGCCTGCAGAGACTCAGACTAAGATCTGTTGCACGTGCCCCAGGGTGTCTCAGAAAATACATTCTCAGCTTCGGATCGACCATCATTTATGTACAAAAGCTCCTACAAAAAAAGTCCTCATATTTCTCTTCCTCCCCTCTTTTACTCCGCAGTAACTTTTAGCCGGATAAACTCGCGTCTTCCCAGAGCTTCAAAGGGCGGTGCTGGCGACCAGGTGAGGCAAGAAACGCTGGAGGTGAGGAAGGACCGATCAGGGCTTTGTGTCCGTTCCTTTCAGGGATGCTCACAGCCTTCCCCGGGCTTCCTCCCGGAGCCCATACCTCTCGTGTAAAATTAATATACGTAATTAAAAAGAGCCGTTTCCAAAGTTAAAGGAAACCATCTGTCTCCGCTGGTGGCAGTCATTTCGCTGCCCCTTTCCCCGGACCTGGGAAGGAACGGTTTTCCAGCTTCCGAGGCTCCGAGGCTCTGACTTCTATTGAAGATTTATGTTTCCACTTGTGTGCGATGCACGTCTAATTTGAAATAATCAGGCCGGGCTGAGCAACCAGTCCATCAGAGCTATCAACGGCGCTCGCCAGGCAGCCCTGCCCCCACCCCCCTCCGCTCTCTAACCTTTCCCCCCTCCCCCGCCCTTCTCTCCTCCCTCCTCGGCTCTCACACACTCACACTTACCCCCTCCCCCCACGTGTGTTTAGATCAAACCCTTGCCCCGCAGAGCAAGTGTCCGCACGGGGGGCACGGGGACAAAGGCGGAGTCTGGACCAGAGAAGACTGAGGCCCGGGGAGACACCGCGGCGAGAGAAACAGCTGTCTTATCAGCCCGCTGCAGAGACGGAGATGGCTGGAGAGGTCCTCAACAGATAATCACTTGAATAGGTTTGCAATGCGCCAAACTTCACGCTTGATAAGGCCAACCCAATGTAGAGAGCAGCCCGGATCCTGCTCCATTCTGTTTTATCTGGGCTGTAAATTAAGAAATTGAAATTCAGGTGGCAGAGGCGGCAGTCTGCTCACAGACCGCTAAAGTAAACTGTCATGAAAATGCTTTGGGCAGGCAGAGAGGGGGCCCCTGGAAAGGGATACTTTTTTTTTTTTAAATGGGGGCGTGGAGCAGTGAGAGAAAAAGCCCACCGGTTTTAAAAATTACCTGGGGAGGGGAAGCTGTAAGGAGGAGGAGCAAAGGGACATATCACTTTGGTCATGATTCCAAGTCATAGCTGTGATGCATAAAAAAAAATTGAAAAGGATAAAGTTGTTTGAAGTTTGGGGTAATAGAGATTAAGGAACAGTTTGAACCAATTTGCTAGAAAACAGAATCCTGTCTTTTTCAGAGCATGGGCCACAAGGAAGCATTAGAAACAGATTCCGAATGGACTCTCAAGTTTTCCTTTTGTTGTAAGAAAGTCAGACCAACCAGATACAGAAGAGTTACCAGCAGCTAGAGGTTAACTTGACCTTGTTTGTTGAAGTGCTAGAGCCACCTGAGAGACTTCAGGGTGATTTTGGAATAACCTGAGAAGTTGTTAGCCACAGAAAAGGATCTGCTTAGCTACTTAGGGGAATAAGTCCTGTATCACCCCCGCCCCCTGTACCCAGGTGATTACTATGGGCTAAGTCAGGAAACAACAAATTCCAGGTGTGTATTTGCCACCACCTGCTTGTTGCAGCACACTTTTTATTACACTCTGGTCTGCTGTTATGAACATGAGGCATGGAATCCTATGCATTATTTGAATAAATGTTTCATAAAAAGTTTTAAATGCACAATGATCAGAACAGAGCCAGTGACCTTGATTCACTAAGGACCTGGTACTGTACCTTGCTCTTTGGGTAGCTGAGCAGATTGTCAATTCACTGGTGTACGATTTTGAGAGTGCATAAGCATGAGAGGATGCATCCCATTTTTCCACAACAGCATTTATATTTTAAGTTTCAGCAGCATTTCTAAAAAGGTACCTTCGGATGATAACACATAGTTAATGCAGCTTTAGAAAATCAATCAGTTTTTACTTTGTTTAACCCCAAAACTTTGATCGATGTCAGAGTGCACTTAATTGACAATATAAAGGCTGCTCAAATCACAGTGGGATGAGGAAGAATTAGAAATGAGTTTGCCAGGAAATGTGATGAGGAAAAATTTAAGATGCTGGTCTACGTTTCAGTAGTTATTAAACCATAGAGATCTATTAAAAAACAAGTCCTTTACAATTTGAAGTTGTCATCTGATTATTCATAGGCAGGTAAACAAATATAAGTCATGACATCTCAAACACACTTATGTTGAATACTTTATACAAAAGTATAAAGTATCCTTCATATCTTGTAATACAGAACTGTTGTGTGTGTGTGTTTTTAATTCAAGTGTATGGATGAAGGAATGCTATATGTATTCCTTAACAAGAGAAATTTATTTTTATGTAAGTTAACTTTTCCCTTTCATACCACCATTTTCCATATTTTTTTTCATATTGGTTAAAATCATGGCTACTATACAAGCATTGAAGGAGTATTCCTTTTGTGAATTGTAGCCTTTTAGGCTTTATTATACTATTATCTTCAGATAATCAGATATTTTTCTACCTGTTCCAAATATTCAAACAATTTTGAATTGCCAGTTTAATGAGTCTCTCAATCTATGCTTTTTATTTTTGTTTTCCTTAATTAAATTGGGAAATCTGCATTCAATGGACAGTTTAACTTATTCTTTATCAAAATAGGTAGGACTTTTGTAAAATAAGAATTTGCATAAGGGTTAAAAGATGCACTCTTGCTAGGTTTGAAATCTGAGAAGAATTCTATAAATTGAAATTATAATATTTCAAAACTAAAAGATAATTTTAAAAATTTCATTATTGAACAGGAAAAAATTTTTACCATGAATTTATTCTAAAAATCACTCCTAAATTTTATCACACGTGATATATTTGATTTCTAAAGGCATAGCAATCCATAATGAGTGATGAAAAATAAAAAATCCAAAAATGCAAATTTTATTTTTAAAAGGATTTCCCATCACTTATTCTTTAGAAATGAGCTAATAGATTTCTAAGGCAAACAGTCTCTCGATAATGTATAAAGGCAAAAATATTGGAAGCCTTGGAAATATCTAAAAGTTATAATAGTTTTGTTTAAAACTGATTATAATTCTGTTAACAAAAGGAAAATCCGGCTACTCATTATCTCTTTTCAGATGTAACACTTGTCTTCGGGTGAGGGTCAAGTGAAGGATACATAATCGGCTCCTATTTCTAAATGTTTATTTCTGATCTTTGACAGAAGTTCCATTTCAGTTTGATTCAAGCATCTTCTGAGTGCCTACATGTGCCAGAATACTACAATTAGATTAGAGACTAAATGCCTACAGGAAATCAGATTACTTTCTTAGGAAATCCTAGTAAAAGGAAAATGTAGGCAGTTCAACTCAAATTAACCTGTTGTCTAAAACATCTTCACAATGTGTCTGGATTTGGTTATTTCTCTTTCTAAAGTTTTGTACAATATCTCTTTATACGTTTTCTAATAGTTTCACTTGTCAAAAATTGGTCCTTTAAATAGAAACTATAGAACAGTGGTTCTCAACCTTCTGGCCCTTTAAATACAGCTCCTCATGTTGTAACCCCAACCATAAAATTATTTTCGTTGCTACTTCATAACTGTAATGTTGCTACTGTTATGAATCATAATGTAAATATCTGATATGCAGGATGGTCTTAGGCGACCCCTGTGAAAGGGTCGTTCGACCGCCAAAGGGGTCTCGACCCACAGGTTGAGAACCGCGGCTATAGAGTAACTACTAGGAGCTACAGTTTTGCAGATTGTTAGGAGCTTAGGTCTTTACTTCAGATACATCCAGATTTGAACCTGACTCCACCACTGTGGGGCCTTAGACAAATTATCTTTTATAAGTCTTGATTTCCTGATCTATAAAATGAATGGTGATAATAATTCATTTAAAATCACTATGAGGTTAAATGTAATGTGAGTATAAAATAATCAAACTTCCTGGGATAGAGGACGCAGTAGATACACGGACAAAAATGATGACTTAGCACATTTACTTGATGAAGCCAGAATTTCTGATTTCATATGTTGTCTCTTAAATGTTGTCATTTGCCCTTGTTAACATCCTACCTGATAAATATCTTCTCACATTTCTAATTGTAACCAAGCTTAAAAGGCCCCAAATAGCATAAAATGTTCTGTCTACCCTGTTATGTGGCTTCAATATATTTCCCAATACAATTTCATGATTCACCCATAAAAAGTTGTGGGTCTTCAAAAAGCAACTTAGACTAAGATCCCATTTGATTGATATAATAATAAAAACACTTTGGATTTTATAGTACCTCTTATCAGAAAAAGCTCAATGCACTGTTACATATTTATCATTGAAACCCAGGAGATAAGGAAGGGCAAAAATGATTTCTCATTTTCAGGAACATAACAGTGGCATTAGGAATTAAGGTAACATTTGTAAGATTAATAGGATTAGAGAACATGTTTCCTGAATATCAGTCTTCCTGCAACGTGTTACTCTCTTTGGCATTAATTATAGCCATTGTTACTTTAGTCAGTCTCAAAATTTTAGTGTTTGGCATTAAGTATAGGTTATAATTCAGTTAATTACTTGCTGAAATCAAGTTGAGTCAAATGTATACCATCAGGGTCTAATCAAATTAAAAAAGCTTGACTTTATGCCAAAAGACACTTTTGTTATTCAATTTGATATATCTATGCATTCTTATTTACAATTGTGTGTTAACTGTAAGGCAAGGTATTTTAAGTTACTCTTTCTTTGTGGTCTTAAAAGAAATCCATTTCAATCTCCTGATCACTCACCTCTCCCCAGGCTCATTCCCTAACGCCACCTATATTGTTATAGGCTATTACATTTACTCCATTTACATAGGCTAACAGTGCTTTGTGCTCCAGCTTTTATTTCTGTGGTGGTCTGTGCCTGAAAAATCTATCAAAATAAATATCCAGAGGAATATAGAAGTAAACTGTATAAAAGGACACAGGAGAATACACTTTTTATAATAGTTTTTTGTTTGTTTTGAAACAAAATGGAGACATAATGTCCACTTGACTTGGTAAAACACACACTATCAAAAAAATACTAATGGATTAACATAGCTGCCGCTACGGATGTGGACTGGAAAAAAAGAAAACTGATAAAAGAGTGAAGCTTGACTTTTGGATGTCTAAATTCATAGGTTACAATGGAAAAACAGGCTTAATGTTTTTATTTTAAAATTCAGTAGGCATCTCTCTGTATCCTAAATGTACCTTGGAATTGACAAGCTTGACCTACCCAAAGTCAAGCCCAGTCATGTGACTGCCAGACTCGTATGGGGAAGTGTAAGTAGCACCAAGAAGAAACACACATACATCACCCAGAAGAGCCAGAGCTGTTGACTGCCATTTCACCGAAGCCCTTTAACCCTTCCTGTCCATGTGACTGAACAGAAAATCCCTTTTCTCTGAAGGAATATATTTATGTGCATTGTAAGGCTGAGAATAATGTCTAATAGAAATAATGTTCTGCTCCTTTGGCCACTGTTATTCTGGTATGAAATATTAGAGGATATGGTAGTTTGAAATGTCAGTTTTTGTAAACATGGGTTGGAAGATGTAATATAAATGAATGGTGTTACCGACTGTTTAAGCTGTTTGAGTAACAAATAGACATTTCCTTGAGTTATTTTGACACAATTTACTGTGAAGCTCCTTTTTTTCCTCTTGCTGATACTTCTAGATTCTTTGTGCAGACAATAAAAAGAAAAGCCTTTCTTTTCTGTCAGTGCTCATTATTTAACTCCTGGAGCACTGATGTTTTCTAGAATACTAATATTTCCTAGATGTAAAATGAATACTAAAAGGGAGGCGGGTCTCCATCTTAGTCATGTCAAAAGGATACATGAAAATTTGAGCCTCTTTACAAGATTTTTATAAAAGAACAAAAATATTAATATATATTATGATGGCTTAGTTCCTAGCTTTAAAAGACATTTATATAAGTATTTTATTTGTGTGTGGGTGTGTGCAGAGCAAATGAAATGAGGTTCAGGGGTGAAAACTGCCAAACTTTGGGGAGACCAGGCCCACTGTAGTGGAGGAAAGTCCTGGAAAGCCATAGGCTATCAGGCTGGGTAGGTATAGTAGAGTCTCATCACGGAGGGCCTTGAAAGCCAGCGGAGAAAAGTGCTGGCGTAAAACTACTGCATGAGGAGATATCTGTTGACAAGTGTAAATTTGGGATATGCCCAGCAGGGAAAGACTCGGAGATAGGAAACAGAATCAAGACAGAAGGAGGGTTAAGGACCTTTCTGTCTGAAACACTGAAACTCCTTGGAATGAGGTGGCAAGGTCAAGGGATACACAGAGGTGGGGACAGACTGACAGGTATCGAAGAGGGGCTCACACTGACACCAATGAAAGGGTTTTATGGCCAAAAAGTATTAGGGTTCTGAACAAGTAACACTCTGGAGCCAAAAAGCCCCTAAGCTCTGAGGAAGTGAAACCAGGAACCAGAGCCCATGAGGCTGCATTTAGCTTAGCTGTGGATGGCTCTGAAACCCCTTTGTGCCTAAGGTTGTAGGCAGGGGGGCAGTAGGACACTGCTAGGAAAGAACACATTGTGGCACTGAGCTAAGGTGCCTAGGCCTAGAGAAAGGGGATGTGAGTCCTGCGGAAAAAAGCAGTCCTATTTCTCCCACAAATCAGCTGATTCTCTTCAGCAAGTCACTGTGACTCAACCTCCGGATTCCCCAGGAGAAGCCTGGATTAGTAATAATAATGATAATGGGTAACAAGTATTGAATATACACTAGGTACTCGGCAGCATTCTAGTGCTTTGCATGCATTAAATCATTTAACCCTCACAACAATGCTATCGTTTTAAAGATGAGGAAACATAGGAAGTTAAATAATTTACCCCAGATCATACAACTAGAAATGGACAGAGCGGGAGCTTGGCCCCAAGTAGTCCATTTCTAGGGCCCAAATCCTTAACCACTATTTATTAGACGACCTCTAAGGTACTTTCCAGATGTAAAATTCTAAAGAAACTCAAGATGACCTAAGACTTGCAAGAGAAAGAAAGCACAAGCAAAATAGATATTATAATTAACAAGCTCTTTTAATCCTCACCAGAAGATATCTTTTCCATTGATTTTTTTAGAGATAGTGAAACGAAGGGAGGAAGGGAGGGAGAAATACTGATGTGAGAGGGAGACATGGATTGGTTGCCTCCAGAGCCGGGGATTGAACCAGCAACCACGGTATGCGCCCTTGACAAGGAATCAACC